CACACAAGACTCCAGTTTCACCAATACAAAACTGCCACACAAGAATCCAGTTTCGCCGATATAACCTACCACACACGACTCAAGTGTCACCAATATCAAACTGTCATTCAAGGGTCCAGAAACATCGATATGTGAAACAATACTCCAATATTTCTAATCGGCATCTTACAACATCTTGCAACATCTTACAATATCTTACAACGAAAAAAGAAAAGAAATTGTTCATTTTTAAACGCAAAATTAAGAAAATATTGTTGTCAATTTTACTCGAACAAATAAAACAAGTCCAAAGCAATATGATTTCGATTAAAGCAATTTATTTGCAGTCATTAAAATTGTGACATAGTATCACGAATTGAAAACGTAAACGTCAGGTAATAGGATGCCGTCCTCGTTGGTCAGTGTCAGCAACCTGCAAGAATACAGACATACTTACAGAGGGTTTCTGACAAGTAGTAGATTGAAACATTTTGTATTCATTTTCCAAGCAGGGTTAGTAAAAGATATAAAATAAATTTGATAAACTTTTACTACTGTCTTTTTCCATGTCCAGTGCTATATAAGTTGATTACAATATATTCATGGATGGGTTATTCGTTTAACGCAGTATTGGAATTGTTCCTGTTTAGCTTCAACCAACACCAACGGAAAAGCTGTAATCAGATACATTCTTTATATATATAAGTCGTTTCAAATTTTAGTATTTTTCACAGCACTTGTTATTTTTAGCTTAATGGTCATACTTTTCTGTGATTAGTAGTTCAACTAGCTAGTGTACTTACAGAATCGACGTCGATCCGTTTTCCTGCAAGAGAGAATACAATTGATGAATTGGAAAAACAAGTACAGAGTGTCTCAAACAACTTCTCATAACAAGTGTGGAAATGAATGGAAATCCCAATGGATAAGTATTAGCTTTTTATATCGGTAGGTACTTACCTACAAGTACTGGGACGTTCTGTGGTAAACGCGTGGAAACGGTCGCCCCTACAAATTGTCAAAACACAACAGTAACATGTATTGTCCACATAAATATCTGTATAGTCATCACGTTTGAAGCGATACAACTATGATAAGCTAGTGTTCTAGTGCGAGATGTCTTCAATGCAGTCTTAGATTGCAACGCAGGCACAAGCAGAAACCGGGGAGACAATGGATGAATAAGGTAACGTATAATTAATCGACTTAACCTACATGTGTTCGTAACAGGGTAAACTTCTACATCAATTAGTATCTTTAAAAAAAAATCCGAAATGCATTTAATATAATATATTTCTTTGAAATGAGTGACAACTGTTAAAAAGCTATATAACATTGACTTTACATCGAATACTATGATACAAGTAGGTTATAAATTACAGTATTCAATCAACCGTTCCAGGAGCAGTAACTCTGCTCAGAGGCTTGAAAGTCGCTGACATGTCATATAGACATGGCAATGTTATATCGACGCTGGTATAGCTTAAAATTACTTTAACGTTGAAAACGCAACTTCTATATTTGGGGGAAACTATGTGAATTTATTTATCAAACGTTAAATTTGGAGTTGCTCTGTCGATTAATAATGTGTGTTCCCTTACGAATGTTGATAGTGCCTGTCTGTATTTTGACCATAGGTTCACTGCGAAACATCATGAAGTAAGAATATTCATTACACCAATGAAAAACATTTACATTGATGTCACAATACAGATTACGTCAAAATAAAAACAGATATTTTTCAAAAAAATATTGAACAGAAAATTCACTTTTTTCCTTGAATTCACTTTTTTCCTTGATCTTGTTTATGTAGTAAAAATAAATAAAATATTATGTATTACAAGTAAAAAAACCAAGAAATGCTCTGGTACAGTGGTGATCAATCCAGTATGCAAGGAAGGAACCGATAACACAGGAATTAGAAGGCTGGATCATTCAATAGCCATTTCCCCGCCATATAAAGGGGAGACAGTAGGAAATTAAACTGAGATAGCAAGTATTCGAATGAGCGGGCAAATTAAACTACAACTACTGCTTAAGGCATATCAATAGGTTTGGAGTAGGAAGATAATACGTCTCCAGATCAACCCATTGTATTGATAGTCCAATTTAACGAGTTTCTTAACACCTGAAGCATGTGTTTTTCCAAGTCTAAAATGAACCACTAGATACTGAAGATTGCGTAAGTCTCCTTATAAGCCGACAACTATAGTCCGTCATTGCATATTCATCGACAATTCTAAAATGATTTTAATTAATGAGCCACAATAATAATGCAATACATATATATCTTATTCCGATAAACAAAGCTAGAACATATTTACTTTTGTCGGGGATAAGATACTTGTTCGAATATGGGAATAACACGTGCATTCATATGCATATGTCCATTTCATGGATGTTCTCCCCTTGTTGAAAAACACGAACGTGAATAAGTTAGAGATTTCGTTAATTATCTATCTATAAACATAAAACAACAACATAAAACATTTAATATATGTGTTAATATTTAGGACTTGTAGTGCGATGCAGATGTCATAGTTCTTACGAGAAACTGGCGTGGTTACAGTTCCTGCTGTTGTAGTTGTCTGACTTTGTCGTACAGAAAGGGTAGGTAACGGAGCTGAAAAACAAGTAGCAAAGTAGGTGATCTCGGTTCTCAAAAGCCTTGCCTATGTCGTTCCTTTGTTTTTTTCTGAAATCATTTTATGCCGTAGAATTGACATTCCATTTCTTTGCGCGAATATCTGCAATTCATTGCCTTAAATGTGTTATTTTGGAAAAGAATTTAAGTGCATTTTTTTTTACATTTACTAACTTATGTAATATATTTCCTTTCAAATATTCTAAATCAGGGAGGTACATATTCAACGACAATA